GCAATAGCCAAAAATACATTGTATGGGTCAAAATTATCCATTTTTCTTTTATGCCAAAAATCATTAGGATATTAAGTAAAGATCATGTCCCATGAAGATATTTTGTAAATTTCCTACCAGTCAATCAATATTTAGATTTTTTTGCACCATCAGATTCCAGATTTTCAAATAGTTGTATCTCAGCCAAATATTGTCCGATCCTAACAAACCATACATCAATGGAAAGATTATTTATTCAGCTTTCAGCTGATGCAGAAATCTCAATTTCGAAAAATTGACCCTTATTACTGGTTTTGTGCTCCAGGGTCACATATTATGTGTTGTAAAATAAATGAATATTGCATTATTTTAGTGCCACGTGTTAAGTTGCTTTGCACCTATATTCACCTCAGCTTGAAAAGTTATGATAAACATTCATGTGACTTTATCTAAAGTTTGGTAAATTAACAATTTCAGTTAATGAAATTAAGTGTAAATGCATTACTGTAAATTTAAATTCAGTCTATAAAATTTTGTGACCATACTTTTTACAGCAAATACAGATTTAACGTTTCTTATTTGTATTAACTTTTTTTTATTTACAGTGTATAAATAACCTTTTTTAATAGATTTCAGGTATGTTTAAGTATTAATTAAACTCACAAACAAGCCAAGTTCAACTATGTGCAACCTGTCAAACATTTACAAAGCATGCAGCCAAAAACATCGAGTATTATATATGCAGCATAAATATTGTTCTCGTTAAAGTAACTTTAATGCATAAACCGTGTAAGGAAACCAGGGTTACCGTACTTCACCTGAGATTGATTGTGCAACTAAAACCAGCAGCTGAATGTCAATCATGAGTCATTTTTCAGTGACAAGAATGATGCAAATGCAAATTCAGCATCACTGGCTGTATTAAAACAAGAGTGCATTCTGATTGGCTGTTAGCTCTGTAACATGATTATTAATTATTAAAAACAAATTCATTTTAAAATAGGATTACATTATAGTGGAAACTCGTAAACTCTTTGATGTTATGTAAAACAATCGGCTATAATTGATAAGATTATTATTATACAGCTAATCAATAAAACGACTTTCTTTTATCCATTTTTCAAGTCGGTTGAGTAGCATCACTCTTCCGGCTCTTCTGGAAGACATTTCCATCTGGCTGGATTTTCCATGACAGTTTCGCATAATCAGTCAGTCGCTTCTGCTTCAGGATCTTCGCTATCTGAAGAACACAAACAGAAGTTTGGTATTCGATACTCTTGGTTTCTCCTCTATCAGTATGCTTTCGGTATACTGTACAGGTCCTTATATGAATTCACCTGCAGCAGAATCTGTCTTCACCGCAGGATCGTTCACATTTGGACTTGATTTGACATCCAGTCTCACTGTCTGCTTCTCTCTGTGGGACACGAAAACACACAAAGTGATCAAAGTACTACAGAATTATATAATATTTTGCAGTAGTACTTTTTTTTTAATCAGTCAAAACAATCTAGAAAAATAACTGTCATTAAACACAATTGATGACTTATTTCTACAAATTTGGGATACTGAAATAACAAAAAATAAATAATAATAATAATAATAAATAAAAATTAAATAAAAATGTAAATAAAAACAAGATATCAATAAATCAAATAACAAATACAAAAACAAATCAACAAA